TTTTAAAAAGAAGTATAGAGGAGTAAATGTTGACTTTTAATTTCTCTTTTGTGTGGTCTCACACCCTCAGGAACTTAGCTATGCATAAATGACAAATTGCTATTTCTAAAAACCTTACAGTTTACAACCAGCTAAGATTTCATCCAAAGGCAGTAGTGCTCAAAATCTTCCTTTCAACATGGCCATAAGAAGCCAAGCTGTATAATTAAGGAGAATAAATTTGCTCTTGTCCCATAGAATATATCATACAAGCTTGTCTCAATGTCTTTTATTAATAAAATACCAACAGGGATGGACTCCTGCAGGGCAGTCAGGTAAGCAATACAAAAGCCTGAAGACTAACTAAAATGAAAACCATAATTTTGGCTTTCAGATGCTGTATTTTAAAAACCAAAGTACCAAAAACTGAAGTGACCAATATTAATGAATAATAGTGTATGACTCCATTTAGACATCTAAATACGGTAAATATCAAGTAGCCATAACTAATGCAACATTTGAGCAGAATACACCCGGATACATCAGAAGATCATGATGGAATTGATCTAAAGGGGAAAATGAAAATCTTTCAACAGATAACTCTATACAGTCTGTTCAGAAGTACCCCTAATCTTATTGTTGATGCTTCCTGCTTCAAAACCTAAGTTGTTTTAGATGTCCTTTCTTTACATATAAAAACTGAAGAGAAGACAAACACATCCCTGGCTGAGGACCATTTAGTTGAAAGTCAAAACAGTATCTGATCATATGAAACTATAGGTTATGAGTCTTTATTCCCTACGTGCTGGATTCCTACTTTTTCAAAGCTGTTAATGGAGACTTCCTCTACAACCTTCCATCTAGCTAATGATGACACTGGCTAGTGATTATGAGAATTAAAACCAAAAACCTCTAGAGGGAACCAGATTAAAGAAGGCAGAATTAATGCCAACACATGTATAGCTGCACACTCAGAGGATATCTATTGCATTCCCTCTTCTCGCAAACATCCATACACATAAATCTCTTCAGTCTAGGTACAGTACACACAGATATAACTAGGTTTCTTCTGTTGTCACTGCATCTATTATATTCTTCAGATTAATGAAATGACTTTTCTTTTATTGGCTGATTCAGTAAGACCAGATTTAGACAGTGACTTTATATTACATCTTTACATGGCTGCGGAGATACTCGTGGGGGAGGCAGCGGCCTGGGCAGCCCGGATGGCTTCTCCTGGGCGGCCCGTATGGCTTCTCCTCGTGGGGGAGACGGCCCGGATGGCTCCTGGGCGGCCCGTATGGCTTCTCCTCGTGGGGGAGGTGGCGGCCTGGGCGGCCCGGACGGCTTCTCCTGGGCGCCCGCTTTGACCGTGGAGACTTTTTCGGCGGCCCCTCTCAACCCCTTCCGGACTCGGAGATGTCCTTGACGACCTGGAGGGCCTCCCTGACTGGTTTTCAGCCTCCCCGGCGGCCTGGGGCCTTCGGAGGGCTCTTCGGGCAGCCTCGACGGCCCCCC